AAGTTGTCGCCATAGCTTTTGGAACGTTTGACCAACTTTCTTTGACCGCTATATCTGTGCAGACGACAAGTCGTCGCCATAGGTCTCTCTGGGAACAACGAAAATGTTCGCGGTAATATGAAAATATATACCGATGACGTGTCGTCGGTATAGGTAACAAAAAAAGGATTTTTCATTTATTTTTATTCCAAGTGCCAGAAAAAGAAATAGAGCTAGCTATACCGACGACCTAACAGACCTATGCCGACACGCCTGTGCCGACGACTTTTTCCCGACGAATTAAATATGCATGTTTTAAAACTTTCACCGAATACAAAAAAACTAAAAAACTTCTAGCTTTGATATCTCGACTTTGGGGGACCAAAAATGGCAAATTTATAATCTAAAATCATGTACAAACTCTAAACTATATGTTGGAAAAAACCGCATGTTAATCGGAGTTGAAACGGATGAGATATGCATCTTTTACATGTTTCACAAAAACCGGTTCCGATCCTAAAAGTGGTTCCGGTTCAAAACACCGGTCCGGTTTTTAGACCCGGTTTACCCGGACCCAATGGACCCAAACCCGGATTACCCGGAACCCAGATAAAATCAATTTTTAAACTCAGAACCGGAACCAGTTTTATATATTCCGGTTCTAACGGTTCCGGTTTTCCGGTTCTAAATCTCATCCCTATAACTTAGATTCTCATGGAGGTTAGGATTTAAAAAGGATTTTCTTAGGCGTTAGCCTTTTTTTTTTTAAATAAAAAGTTGACGCAAGGGCCTGCTCTCAGCCAAGGGATGCCCATATGTCATTTGATTCAAAACATGAAATTTTGCAATTTTACAAATAAGGAGATGGGTAGAATAAAGATTGGCGAGCAGGGTTTTTGGAGGTGAAGCTAACCTAATATCAAATCCTATCTCTCTTAGACTCTTCAGAATATCATCGATTCATTATTTAAGTTTCTTTTGGATTCGGCTCTTCATATATATCCCATTCATGATTCTTATTAAATTGGAATAAAAACTTGATAAGATTTAAAATTGAAACCCATAAGAAATTTGAATAAAAAATAGAGTTGGTCAATCAAAACCGTCAAAATCAGAAAACCATTTTAACAAACAAAATGCTTGAATTAAAGAGAAGATATCCATAGGGAATTGATGTTGATAATAACACACACACTTTGGTGAAGGAGATGGATGAAAAAGGTATTTACAATGTGGGATTGAAGAATAAAGTAACAAAACGAAAATGAACAAAAGATGTTTGAGTGATAGCAGCAACAAAAAGAGAATCGTAAACAGATGCAAGGACTAATTCATGAAACCTAAATAATTAGGTAAATCTGAATCAGAAAACATACCAAATTAGCATCAATCTTGCTTATTATCATGAGAATCCCAATAATCTGGGAGTTGATTTCCCGGACTATAGTTAAGAAAGCGGCCGAATTGAAGAGTTCAGAAGAAATGGGCACGGGGCATACAATAGGTGAAGGGCATTTGCGGAAATTCACATTGAAAGACTCTGTGGGAAAATAAGTTTTGGGGAGACGGAACAATTGCCATGTGAAAAAAATGGTTTTATTTATTAGATTAGGGGATATAGTTTATTATTTATGTTTACTCTATTTTATTTTAATAAAAATTATTTTTCTACTGAAAATAGATATAGACTTCTAAACTCAAAATAATGTTGTTTTATATAACAACCGGTAAAGTGAATGTTAGCCTTCTAGTGGTGGCTTTTATGCCAAAGAAATAAAGTTGTGATCAAAATGAAAAACACCTTATAGTATAGTGGCTTTTGTGCTATTTGTGATTAATAATATAAAATCTTAATATCATTTTCATCTTCCTATTTTAAAATGAATGATTTTTGTTACATGTAATTTCCAAAAATTATTTTTTTTATAAAAGTGAATTCCTCATATACCTTTCCTTTTTTCCTTTTATATTTTACATTATATATTATTTCCATAGTAAAAGTATATTAAATCCCATAAAATTAGCATGTTTTCTAAAATTTTGAATTTCCTTTATCATCTTCCTTTTTATCCCTCTGCCTTGACAGAATCACATATAATCAACAACCTAAATCAACATTTCTTCCTTTGAAAATTTTGCGTTACGAAGATGTTTAATTTGCCCCCAAATTGATGATTCTCTTCTTTTCACTCAAATCCGCCATCCAAAACATCCTCAAGATCTTTTTTTTTTATTTTTTTTTTTATTTTTTTTTTATTTTTTTTTATTTTGTAGAAGGGAAGATGTAATGTTGGTGCCACCATATGATAGAAGGGTTAATGGTTAGGTCGTCGAAATATTGATCTCTCTCCATAATCGCCGGTCATATAGTCGAGTTGATAACTGGTTAGATTATTTTCTCTTTTTCCTGCGTTTAAAATGTATGCATTGTGAAAATTTCAAATTACATTTAATATTGTTTAAATCGTTGGCAATATTAACTAATTCATTGTTAACTTTTAGTTTCAATGTGAAATTTATTGTCATTAATGGTGAGTTGGTGACACAAGAGTTAGAAGTTTAATTAGTTTTATTGAATATTTATTTTCATTTCTACAGTATCCGAGAGCATCGAGATGAAAAGGGAATATAATCAATCTCTATGAAGATATGGTTTTGGCTCTGTCCAAGTTATAAACGGTTTCCCATTTTCAGATATGTTTGCCTGGAAAGATGTTTACCCTTTTTTTTTAAACAATTTTAATCCCTTTTTCATCACGTTATTATGTTCTGCTATAGTGATAGTGAAAGAAAATTTCATCATCTTTTCAAGAAATTTGTAGATTTTATTTTCTACAAATTTGTTCTTCGTATGATCATTCGTTTATCAAATATCCATCTGGATGAAATCAACTAGGAGGCCGGTCCAAAATAAGGTAAATTAGCTCCTTTACCATTCATTTGACTGGTATTTAGATATTGAATGTTTGATGTGTGTTTTTTTGTACAATGCATGTGATTATATCTCAAATGATTCTTCTAAAAAATTAAGTAGCGATTTAATAATATTTTATTTGAGTTGTGTTTGATGACCAATTGTTTGCATGTGGATAACTTGATAAAATTTGGGACGGTGGCATATGTATCGATCCGTGATGGGTAAAATCGTAAAAGGTTCATAGGATGACACTATTGATTCAATAGCGAGCTTGAAAGGTATATTTATGAATTTTATGATTACGAAGTTATTAATTTGTATAACTTCTCTGCCTACTACATAATACTATCAAAAGTTTAGGCATGAATTTTGTTAAACGATGTTCTAAACTAAACTTGAAAGTGAAGTCCTAACTTAAAAAAAAATTTGTATGGATGTGTTTCTTCATTGCTATCAAATGTTGGAACTGATTTAAAAAACTTGGTATTTTTTTAGTTTTTTTTATAGTAATGGTTTACAGACTAATTTAAGTTACAATTTAGTTACTAATATCAAGGTACCAGAATAGGTCTTTCTTCCTAGCAAATTATTACCCATTTCTATTTAACTACAATCATATGTTTTTTTACCTTCATAAAGACGACACAAAATGAAATGACAATGTTGAAAAACATTGGCGTTTTACAACAAAAATCAAAGTGGAACAATCTTTGAATGGTCCTGATGCTGTAAACATTTAGGTTTGCTTAAGTAGAACGATTTGAGTTTGTTTGTGTGTTTGTGGATATGTCTGAATATTTGTAATGATCATGCTACAAGGCCATTCATTGTGTTGTGTTGTTTAGTGTAGGTGAAGCATATCGAAATATTGTGATATGATGCCTTATTAAAGTGGATTATTAGTTATTTCTGTTACTTCAAAACCTCGTTCAAAAGGTGCACAGAATATGAACCATTTTAATTACATACGTCGGAAACCTTGTTCAAAAGGTGCACAAAATATGAACCATTTTAATTACATACGTCGGAAAGATGTGATGAAATGAACTTGAAAGACTGATTTATACGTAAACTACCTATGGAAAGATACTTTCACATTGATTATCTTTTATTGTTATTATAATTATTTTGTTATTTTATATTTTGTTGGTGGAGATGTATTTTTTGTCAAGGAAACATTATATCTAAAGTAATATCAATGATAATTAAATTTTACATTTATATAATTACCGTCAAAACATCTAAGTTTCCAAATAAATAAATGTTTGCAAATGTATTCTTATCTTTAAGGTTTATTAACTTTCGAAGTTGTTTTAAGTTGTCCGTGTGGTACACATATTACAATCTAGTTATATATAATAATTAATAAATATTTGAATTGATCATTATAAAGTTTTGCATCCATGTAAAACCAAGCAGTAATGATAGGTGTATTGAGAAAAATAAAAATAAAATTTGAATAACAATAACCGATAAACCGAGAGTTTGATTTTTCTACTTTAAGAAAACAAAAATTTGTTATTACAATTTGATTTTTTTGTTCTAATATTGAAAAAAAAGAGAATATAACCAGGTTTTGTTTTAATACATCGTTTATGTAATATATATATAAATTTTTTGCTTGATTAATTATTTGATTTATATCCTTTTGTTACATATAACTAAACTTTTTATCAGAAATTCAACAAATATTTTATGTATTTCATCTAAAAGATACTTTTGTACGGATTCTAAAATGTTAATCGGTGAAAACGGGAAACCGATTGGTTTATATAGTAAAAAAAAATAGGTCTTATCCGAAAACAGATCAACACGTTTGGTTATTATTTGAAATAACTCAGATAAACTGATAAAACATTAGGTTAACGGAAAAATGAAGATACGAAGAAAACAAAAACTGAATGAAAATTGATCCAAAACACAAACACAAATGGCTTATTGGGGCGCTCGAAACCAAATGGTTTAGGTTCGGTTTTGGTTTTTGACAAAAACCGAGCCGAGCTAATGTGTCATATAAGAAATGCCACCAACCAAGTTTACACTACACCAAACATAAACAGTTGCATATATAGAAACTTAATTTGACCCATTTTATTTCCTAGAGTTACGGACCTGAATCAGCAGCGGTTTTTGCACGAACTTGCCTTGGGGTGTCGTCCTCGATGTCTCTTTTCTTCTTCTTTGGGTTCATGGATCCGGTAGAGAGAGCTTCCAACGCTTTTGCAGTCAGCACACGGTTTCTTGTACCCTGCCTTTGACCATTCGGAGCAACCTCTTGATCTGTATCAGCACCATCATCCTTCAACTGATCAGGTTGGTTGGTTAGCGTTTCATGCAAAACAATACCTCCATCTGAATCATGAGTGGCTGCAGGGCTGTTCGACTCCTGTATGGTTTCTCCTGAAACAGAAGATGAAAACGACTCTTGCACATGATCAGTAGGTTCTGTATCAGATTCAGTATCAGACATCATACTTCTGAGTTTAGTAGTTTTAACAATCCCATCCTCCTCATGGGCGAAACTCACGTCCACAATTCTATATTGAATATGATCTTGTCTCACAGGTGGGTTCACCGGGATGTCAGCTGGGATAGGTTCGGCTTCATCAGGTCCAAGAAGCTCGGGCTCTGATGCAACCTTATCCAGAACATCCTTAAAACACTCAAAATACTGGACTCCTTTTTGTAGTGCCCTTCTAGAAAACTTTTGGATGCCAGGTGGAAGGAACACCGTCGGTCTCTTGGAGTTTTGGAAGGCATAGTTTATAGTCTTCTCCGAGTGCCATCCTCTTGCTAAAAGCCGAGGCCAAACAGCTGCCCAGAAAACTTCACTTAATTTCGGTTTGTTTAATTCATCCCCCTGGTAATTCAAAAGATTGATGATTTGTTCTGTGTTAAGAGATGCGTATTCAGGGTGAAGAATCCTTTTTTTCACCAGTTTCTTTGCTCTGCGGTCAGTAAGATCTCGCTTTCCTTTACCAATGCCTATGGATTCTATAAGAAGATCAGTGCCCACAATATCCCTTACAGTGAATACATATCTCTCAAACGAGACTACTCCATCTTCATACATTTTGCTAGCCTGAAAGAGATCCAAACTCATCAACAAAATCAAACTTTCATCCAGAACATAAATAAATGCAAGGATAAATTACACCAATCGTCCTCTAAGTGCCGGAAAGAATGTTTAGTTCCTATTTTTAAAAATTAAATCTGATCATCCCTCGTTTGCTTAAAACTTGCATGTTTCGTCCCCGATATGCGTTTGTTTTTGTTGCGTATGTAGTCCATAACAGATATAAAATGACCATAATGCCCTTTGTGTATTTCTTTTCCTATTAATTTAAAGTTATTATTATTATTTTAATTAAAAAAAGAAATGTGGTCCCACCTACCCCACCTTTTTTAAATTGTTAACCTAATTTATGTTTTTCTCTCTCAGTTTCTATATAGCATACCCGAAAGGTTCACCACCATCACCATATATCTAAACCACCACCGAAAACATCTCCATTTCCTCAGGTGTACCGCCGTCACCTACCACCATCTCATATCTTTGTCTAAAACCCTAAAAAAACTACCTAAATCTCCGTCTCCGTCACCATCAAAAACTTCACTATTTATAAACACATCACCTTCTTTGGAAATGTCACGTGGTTGTGACCGCTACCTTGCCGGAGAAGGTGACCTCTTTGTCAGACCTTGACCATTGTCGTCTCTATCGCCATAGCCTTCATCTTCGTGAAAACCTTCGTCATCTCAGAATTACAACATCTCAGATCTACACCTTCTTCGTCACTACATGTTCTTTTAAAAACTTCATCGATGGACTCACAAATCGGGAGAAAAGGGTGGTAGCTCGTCAAAGCTTATAGATTTGGTGAAAGATTTGCTCCATTTTTGTTATAGAGGTGAGTTTCTATGAACGTTCATCGTCTCAGGGTTAGAACGCCGTCCCCTTCATTGTCTTAGGGTTCCAATCTGAGGAATCAGTAACTCCGCCACTTAGTGTTTCGAATGCCACCTATATTTTGGGTTTGGTTTGGTTTGGTTAAGTGGTGGTGGATGGTTGTTTCCAGTGGTTCATGAAGTATTAGTGGTGAAAGGTATAGGTACCAGATTTTAAAGAGGGGATATGAGAGAGAGAGAGAGAGAGAGAGAGAGAGAGAAAGAGATGAAGATAAGTTGTAGTTTCCGATGGGTTTCGGTGTTGATGGATGGTGACCGGAGGTGGCTGGTGGCCAGAGGTGGATGGTGGCTGGGGGAGATTGGTAGTGTTGTAGTTGTCGGTTGTTGATGGCTAAAGGGGTTAGAGTTAATTTAAGCGGTTGTTTCCTTTACTAAAAATTATAATTAATAAAAATAATAGATTAGTTATAAACAAATCCATAAATAATTAATAAATAACAAATAAATGGAAAATAAATCAAAAAAGAAATAAATAAGGCAAAATAGTCTTTTTATGCATGGAGGGACGATCGGTGTAATTTACCCTGAATGCAAGAAACAAGATATATTCCGAAGTGGATACTAAAGTAATACATGGAATTCATCTTTCCTTAAATTAACTAAATCCTACTGCAATAATGATTTGACCGTTAAAGATTTTCGTTAGAAGAATCGAAGATAAAACACACGCAATCTTACAAATACTTAAACATGCAACCGTAAAGATGCATGATCCATCCAACTGAAGTTCATGAAAATGTTGATATTTTTAGATAAAAATTTGTAAGCTTTTTACCATGTCGAGTTTTCTAGAAAATGTATGCATTTGGTTAGCGAAAGAAAAACTACATTGATGATATACGATATTCAAGTTCTGATGGTGAACAATCTTGTAGCAAAGATTACGCTGAAGCAAATAGCTAGACATAATCATATCTACTAAAATCATCAGTAAAAAAGTGAAAAAAAAAAATCTAAATATCTAGCTATATCCTTTTAGATAGTGTACTAAATGGTCCACATACATCAGTATATATTAAACCTAGCGTGCAAGTAACGTAAAGATCATACCTGTTCCAAACTAGTTATGCTTGTGTCCGTGACACGAGGAAATAAACGAGAGAAAAGCTCATCTTGCCTCCAATCACTAAAAATAATTTTCCCAGGCATGGTCTTTTTGTTTCCCTTCATTTTCTTATACCTTAACCATTTTTTGTGTTCATCTGTTTTATAAAACTTTCCATAATAATAAGATAGCACATTTCGCATGCCTTTATTACCTATGAATCTGTTCACAACACCAAAATTCTTGCCAAATATATATAAAGCAAGAACAAAACTATGATGTTCATCTGGGCTCAAAGATTCAACTGATGAAACTGGAACCGGAAGTAAACTAGATTTACCCTTTGCAGATCCCTTTGCTTTGGCTTTATTTTTCATGGTTTTTCCTTTGCTCTTAGGTTGATCTTGAATCCAAGCCACCGGAATTGAGTGGCCAAACATAAGTTGCTCTTCAATATCAATCTCTCTATCATGAGAAGATGGCAATACTATGAGCTGCAAACGCTCGTTTTCTGTCATCAAAGGAGGGATTTGTGCCTGGTATTCATCTCCAATTCTGGTCTTTGTTACAGGCTCTCCAAAAATGTCTCCAGGAGCAGAAGATTGTTCCAATTGGAGCCACTGAACAGGTTGATCTGCATCTTCCATTTTATCATCCATCTGATCAAATCCACATCAATCAAGATGATGTAATTAGCTACAAATGTCAACTGGAATACATGGCTAAATCTCATAATGCTATATTTGAACAACAAATTAACTACCTAAGACATGTCCTTGATCATGCTAACATACACAAAGTTACCAACACCTTGTTTTAAATGCTTTAGTTATGTTTCATAGAGCCGTTAAAGAAAGTAAGTTACGCGGTATCCATGTAGGCAATCAAAAAGAAAATATATGTATACTAAGTGTATCTAGTTCTTAAACACATATAGCTTATGAATCCTTAAAAAGTAGTGTCTCTAATCCGAGTCTTTAATTAAGGGCATTGAACCAAACAATTATGCATATGCTAAGATTGAAACTCATGACTCTCAGATATGTGGAATCCTAGATTTTCTCTCCAAAAGATCCCTTGATCAGAGAAGAGATACTTATGGAACTCAACACAACATTTATGAGATTAAAGTAAATATGTATTGAGACCCTGAAGTGCTAAACGAGGCTCTGATACAATGTTAAATTTTAAAGATAAAAAATATGTTCTCTTATAGATAGAATGTTTAGGTACCAAAACAACTATGTAAAAGCACCTAAAAGACAATAGAATCATAAATAACTTAATTCTACATAAATTGCACTAGAAATGGCAAAGATTCAAATAGCAGGCTTGATCAATTTGAGATTTGGTTTCCCTTGAGCAATCTACTTTGAGGGGAATTAGTTCTTGCATTAACAATAAATTGAAATTTAGTTCTAAAACAAAAACATTGATACAATGTTCTAATTAATTAGGTCTCGTTAGATTTACTCCGACTGATCAGAGACGTAAACGTCCTAACGAGAAGCAAAATTTCACTCAGCCTTCATTCATGTGATCCACTATACCACCTTTTGCATGTCTGGAAATTTCTCTGAATTTTAAGAAAGCTAATTTTTCACTGTTGTGATGCTTTATTTATTAATCATTACAACAGTTATCATCTTACCATTCTTCTCTAAACAACTCTAACAAGCAAAGTAAAGAAATTCAGATGACCAACATCAACAAACGATAATGCTTAGTTATATCCATTCTTGAATCCAACTCCATGACAAAAATTAACATCATTACAAGAACACATGCGAAGAGCCAAAAAAAAAAAAAAAAAAAAGACTTTTGGGGACAATTAAAAATAGCGTAATATAAGAAAAATTGAAAGCATTTCTGTTGAACACAGATAGTAATAGATTGAACCTACATCTTCCTGATAGTTCTGCAACCCACTAATCAATCCATGTTCCGAATTCAGCCTTTAACTAGTTAGATTACTACAGAAACGAAGTAAAATGAGGAAAAGATAAGGAAAAAGGCTACTTAATTAGCCTTGCGTAAGAACTTAAATATAACAAAACCCACGTGAAAACGCAAATCTACACAAATCGGCTCATCTATGTGCATCAAAACACTTCAAAACTGTGGTTGATAAAGATAAACAAAGCACACGTGGATTATAAACTCGCAACAATAAAAAGGTAAATAACAACAAATTCAAGTAACAAAACACTTGGAAACTGTGGTTGATAAGATAAAAAACAACAAATGCAAGTAACAAAACACTTCAAAAGTGTGGTTGATGATCAGAAAACGATCGTATGAAGTGGTATACCTTTCAGATGGGTACAATCTGAAGTGCAGTTCGTATAATGTTCTTTGGGACTTTGCGTGAGAGGATGGAGGTGGGTGGTAAGGAAAGTTTAGAGAGAATTAGAGAGGCAGTGAAGGCTTTGGACTAAAAAATTTCTTATGTAATTTGAGTTGACTCGGATATTATTAAATGTATATTTAAAATATATCTATGAGATCATACTGTTGAATTATAATTATTAATTGCATTCTATTCTTTTTGTTTTAACAGCATTTATTGTTACAGCATTATGTTAATTAGATATTTACAAATTACAAGTATCTGTAGAAAAGATCCATTATTACTCTTTTGGATATATGAAAAACAGGAAAAATTATAATAATTCCAACTCAGCATTTACCTTAATTCAAAAAACAAGAAAAAAAAAATAATGCAACCTTACCCGGTTCTTAGTTGTTAGTGTCTATTTACCACATTTTCAAATAAACTTGTCTCGAAACAACCGGTTTTCACAAAATTTTAGTTTGAATTTCAGAATGGTTTTGAAAGTAAAATTCTTAAATATAAAATGTCAAACAAAATCTGTTATTCTTTAATACCATAACTCCAAAAATATTCTTTGTACTCATCTTCAATCATAAATGCAATCATAAATGCAGATGTTTAAAACTTTATAGAGAGAAGAAAATAAAAAATATTGAGAATGAAGAAATTATTCTCAGTCACTCATTTTTTTTTTATTTTTTTTGTACAAAAGTCTTCGTTGTATCAGTGGAAATTGATAAGGAATACACATATGTTTCCAACAAAACATATTTCATTAAACTATACTAATAATTACCTTAATATATTCACAAATAGTATTTTTTTTTTCGTTTTTTTAATTTTTAAGAAGCTATTTTTATCGAAAAATGATTTTCATATACCAAAATTCATGATTTTTTATTCTCTACAAATAGACATCCATATTGATATACTTTTGAGATCAAATAATTTTTTTTATATTTTCAACTATCATTATTCATAAGTGAGTAAAAATAGTTCAAATTTTTGCTACAATACATTTATTATTCACTTATTAATAAAAATATATAATTAATTTTTTTACAGTTTAAGTATCATTAAACTACTTATTCATATATGAATAACAAATTAACTGTAACAAAAATTGATAAATGTTTTATTCATATATAAATATAAAATATGACGACAACTAATACACATTTTATTCATATATAAATATAATATATGATGAAAGATGATGTAAAAAAATAAACTTTAAGTAAGAAAACTTTATTACGTGTCATATTCATATATGAACGACAGTTAAACTATAATAAAAAAATGTTAAATATACGTTTTATTCATAAGTGAATAACGAATGTACTGTAATAAAAATAATTCTTTATTTTATCTTAAAACTCTATCAATATGGATGTCTATGTATACAAAATCAAAAATTATGAATTTTGATACATTTAAAATAATTTTTCAATAAAAATGGATTTCTAAAAATAAAATAAAATAAAAATATGTTTTTTTGTATATTAAGGTAATGATTAACATAGTTTAAAGAAAAATGTTTGGTTGGAAAACACATGTTTATCCGTTATTCATTTCTGACGGTATGCCTAAGTGTTTTGCGGTAAAATAAATGTGTGGCTAAGAATGATTCCCCAATTCTCAACTTTTTTTTTCTCAATTGAATCTCTCTCTCTCTCTCTCTCTCTCTCTATATATATATATATATATATATATATATATATATATATATATATATATATATAGAGAGAGAGAGAGAGAGAGAGTCAAGATCAAATAAGAAGGAAATTTTTGGTAAGAATGTAAGAAGTTTTTTTTTTCTACATATTTTTTTCGCGAACAAACAAAATGAATCATTAGATGATTCATTTGTAAGATGATTCACAAGAAAAAATTCTCAAAAAAACATCTCAATGATTCATTTATACAATGATTTTGTTGTTATTCATTAAAATTGTCATAAAAATGAATTTTTTCTTAATTTACTTAAAAATGAATCATAAAGATGTTTTTTTGGGAATTTTCTCTTCTGAATTATCTTACAAATGAATCATCTAGTGATTCATATATTTTGTTCGTTAAAAAAATATGTATAAAAAAAACTTTTTACCTTCCTAAAAAAAACATTTCTTACCGGATATATATATATATATATATATATATATATATATATATATATATATATATATAATATATATATATATATATATATATATATATAGGAAAAAGTTAAATAAATAACCAATAAAAAATGTCGAAATTTAAAATAATCAATAGCAAAAAGAATGGTTGTAGACTTCTACGGTTGACGCGCATAAATCAGATTACACCAAAACAGATTTTTTTTTTTTTTTTTTTACTTTAATTTTTTAGGCCATATATTTTATCACAATATATATATATATATATATATATATATATATATATATATATATATATAATATCCGGTAAGAAATTTTTTTTGGTAGGAAGGTAATAAGTTTTTTTTCTATATATTTTTTTGACGAACAAAATAAATGAATCACTAGATGATTAATTTGTAAGATTATTCACAAGAAAAAATTCCCAAAAAAACATCTTTATGATTCATTTTTAAGTAAATTAAAAAAAAAAATTCATTTTTATGACAATTTTAGTGAATAACAACAAAATCATTGTATAAATGAATCATCGAGATGTTTTTTTGGTAATTTTTTCTTATGAATCATTTAACGATTCATTTTGTTTGTTCGCGAAAAAAATATGTAGAAAAAATATTTCTTACCTTCCTACCAAAAATTTCCTTCTTATTTGATCTGGACTCTATATATAATATATATATATATATATTATATATATATATATATATATATATATATATATATATATACTATAATAAATGAAGGTTTTTTTTGCCACATGTCCTCTTCTCATTCATTTGGACACATGGTATTTTCTAGATTTTTTAAATTTTCTATTTTCCACTTGTCATTTTATTGTATTTTTCTATTTATTAATTTAAAAATTCCACATTTAATGTGTAAGGTAATATATATGTAAAGTATATTTATTAGAAAGAGTTTATATATTTAGTGTATTCAACACATTAAAGTTTCATTAATTTTAATAATTCAAATTTTTCTCATTTTTCTTATAAATTCAAACTTTTCAAATTGTTAAAATTTTATATTTGTTTTTTTTAATTAAACTCATGTAATACATGAGTCTCACACCTAGTATATATATATATATATATATATATATATATATATATATTATATATATATATATATATACACACATACTATTATTCATTATTTTTCGTTCTCATTCCATAAAAGTCCACAT